CACCTCTTGAACTCGTAGGAGCCACATCTAGAATCCCAATACCTGGCAACGAATCCTCAGATGGATCAAGCGCGACGAGGACGTCGCGAGTCTAACGAAGGGTGATTGTAATACCCAGATCGGAAAAGATTAAAAGATTTGATAGGTACTATTATACCAACAAGGTATACCTTCTTTTTCGGAAGTCCATCGTTAAAAACTATACAGTTAAGCGTGCTTAGTTTGGAGCAATTCTATGATGGGTGATCCCCTAAGAAGTTTTCTTGGAGAGCGTGCGAGTGAGGATAAAGCATGCTGAAAAGACCCATGTTGGTACAGTGGGGACAATACGTCGTCCATCTAACGGACGGGACAACCCGTTAAATGGGACCCAACTTATCCGCTGTTGCTTCCATTGAAGAAGAATGTTTGCTCATTAGTTCTACTTCTACTTGTTCATGATCTAAATACTGAATATACATTTAGCAGTTCAGATTCTGATTTGCTTCTCATTTTGCCCTGTAACACATTTTGTCGATGTCATTGTGGATTTGTGCTTGAATAACATTTTTCCTGGAAAATATTTCTACGATGCTGCATTTGCACCAAATACTGCAGTTTGAGATCATACGAGGCATGGGACAATAACACAAGTATTTTCACAAGCTGAGATGCTTTTGGTTTACTAACCTGTTTGTAAAATCACAGGGCGCTGAAAATGAACTGAAACATGCAGTAGGAATTGTTCGGCCAGTAAGTGTGGCATTTGAGGTGGTAACTGGCTTTCGATTTTACAAAGAGGGCGTTTACACCAGCACCAGCTGTGGCAGCACTCCAATGGTGAGTTCTTTATTTTAAGAAATTTAGATTATACAGATGTAACTGAGTGAAAATCTGTTAAAAAAGAATTTTGAGGATGAGTTGTGATTTTAAACAAGATAATTAGGTAATTTTCAGTGTACATTCTTACCAATCCCATATATTGGAGCTTGGTTGCATTATTACGCTTTGTCACTATCTGGAAAATTAGTGAGTTGTGGGAGTTAGATCTTGAGACCAATGTCCATAATGGAGACAGAAGTATTTTGTAACCAAGTATTTTGTAACCAATGTCCATAATGGACTCGGGTTCCACTTGCTACTGGTCGTGGTCAATGAGTAGGTTGACATATTATGCTCGCACTAATACTTTGTAATTATGCTTAACTGTCTCAATGATTCTTAACATGTAGTCGAGACACAATGCATTTTGCATTCTGAGAGACATTTCAATGGAACCTATCATTTGTTGTCACGTACAGGATGTGAATCATGCTGTTCTTGCCATTGGTTATGGAGTTGAAAATGGTATTCCATATTGGCTCATCAAGAACTCTTGGGGAGCTGACTGGGGTGACAATGGCTACTTCAAAATGGAGATGGGAAAGAACATGTGTGGTATGTTTTCTGCTGATCATAATTCATCTTGTTTCAAAGAAGGCTCAGAATCCCTTGGTCATGTTTGGCTGAGCTTATAGGGTGCTTAAAAGTTTGTGGTATATCATATTTTATCTTGTTTCAAAGAAGGCTTAGACTCCCTTGGTAGCACCACACTAAATGTTAGAACTGATTAATCAACTGCAAACATGTTTAGACAATCTATGGAAGGTAGATGTTGATAAGCTTCATTCAACCCGGGGTGCTTCAAGGTTCAGTAAATAAACTGATGGAAATGATTTTTTCGCAGGTGTTGCAACTTGTGCATCATACCC